CAAGGTTAGGGCTGAGCTGTCTTGCCGAAGCTCCAAATGTGTAGTCTTTCTTCCCTCCCCAGCCCCGGCCTCCTCTTCCAGGGCCCTCCTGCTTGCAGGATAAGATCTGATGTTATTAGTGTGGTTGACTCAGTGGTCAGTTTTCTTAGTTCTAGGTGTCAGCTGAAGGGGAGGGAGAGATTTCTGAAGGGGTGCCATGGCAATACTTCTCTCTTCCTTAAGAGCCCCACACCAAAAGGAAAGTCGACCTTGGGGAGGGAGGGTGTTTTGTATGGAGCCTGGCCTCTTCTGGAGGTGGGGGTTGGGTCTCATCAGAGGCCTCTCCGGAAGAGGCAGGAAGGAGCTGAATATGAGGGAGGCCACTGAGGGGAGAGCTGGCTTAGGGACAGCTTGGGGCTCTGTGGGGACGAGCCGCGTGGCTAGAGAAGGTGACAGCCCTGAGTCTATGATGCGGATGAGGGAGGTGTACAAGGCAGAAGGAGGGCACAGACGGACTTGAGACATATAGGAGCGTGTGCAAAGGGAGGCTCAGCCAGAGATGTGGTGGCTCAGGTGGAAATAACTCCAGCCAAGGTGGGAGACCTGGATTCTTCCTATGTGACCAGGTTGAGTTTCTTGGGCTTTGGGCTCCTGTCCACATCTTCCTGATATTCAGTGGCCTCTTCATTTTATGCCACTGAATATTTTCTCATTTAACCCTCTAAGAGCTTCACGTGGTGTGATCTAGTGTTGTGCCCATTTTACAGATGAGGAAACTGAGGCTGGATTCAGGAAGGTTGACGTACTTACCAACATTCCCCCTGCTAGACGTGTTTGGCTGGAATGCCAGGACCCACAGCCAGTTAATTCTGGCTCCAGTGCTCTTTCTGGGGCAGCTTGCCCACCTCCTAAAATAGCCAGAGCTAGCCAGGGACAGAGCAGAGAACAGTGTGATGGATACAGTGCTTTTCTGATCTGGTTCCTGGCTGTGTGACCTAGAACAAGTCACCTGCTTCAGGTTTTTCACCTGTAAAAAGTATTAGCTAACAGTGGCCGATAGTTTTCTGAATTACACTGAAGATTAAATGAATGTTCATTCTAATACCACAGGGCCTGCCTCATAGAAAGTGCTAAATAAATACTAGCTATCACTGCCATTCTTTTAATTACCAACAAGTAATCACAAACAAGTCTCTTGGAATGTCAAACACACACTTTGGACCTGGGCTACATTTTCTGAGGGCATGAGGGGCGCTGGAGCTGATGCCTATGGCCCAGCCAGCCAGACTTTATGAAGGAAAGAGAAACAGAGGCAAGTGGCGTAGACAGTGAGCGTATGGCTTAGAGGCTGGTTAATGTAGCTGCACATTAGGGCCCCTGGGGTTCTTGTAAAACAACCTTGTTTAGGGCCCCCCCACCAACATTCCCAGTAAACACCAATCTCTGGCAGGCCCTCACCCCTCCACCCTGCCCCAGGTATGTGACTTTTTCTTTAACTGAGGTATAATTTACATACAATAAAATGCACAAACTTTTTTTTTTTATGTTTATTTTTGAGAGAGAGAGAGAGAGAGAGGACACGAGAGGGGAAGGGGCAGAGAGCAAGGGAGACACAGAATCTGAAGCAGGCTCCAGGCTCTGAGCTAGCTGTCAGCACAGAGCCCGAGCGGGGCTCAAACTCAAATGGTAAGATCATGACTTGAGCTGAAGTCAGACGCTTAACTGACTGAGCCACCCAGGCGCCCCTAAAATTCACAAATCTTAAGCCCTCACTGAAGTTTGATAATCAAGATACTGAACATTTCCATTGCACAGTGACTCTCTGAAGCCCGTTCCTCTCTCTCTCCTCCCCCTCCCCCTCCAGGGTCATTCTCCGACTCCTATATCACCATCAATTAGTTTGACCTGTCCTCAGACTTCACACAATGTGAATTTTTTTTTTTTTTGGCACGCGTCTGGCTCAACTTACTCATTTTACTGAACTAAATGTTTCTGAAATTCTCCCATGCTTTTTGCCTGTATCGGCCCCCTCTTATTGCTGAGTGATATTGATGAACATTTGGGTGGTTTCAAGCTTTTTGGCAATTATGAATAAAAGTGCTATGAACATTCACGTACATGTCTTTATGTTTTCATTGTGCTGAGTAAAGAGCTAGGAGTGGAATTGGGTAAAATATCCAGAAGTGAAATTGCTGGGTCATAAAGTAGATGCATGTTTATGAGAAGCGACCAAATGGCCCTCCAAATCTACTGTGCCATTTGACGCTCCCACCAGCTGCAACCCCAGCTGTTCTCCAATCCCACCATTTGACACTGTTGAATGTCTTTTACTTTTTTGGTCTTTCTAATGGGTGTTAAGTGGTAACCTCATTATCATTTTTTAGAAGTTTGCCTTTTTTTAAATGGTATTTTTTGTTGTTGAAGTAGAGGTGAAGTATATTATTCTATTAGTTTCAGGTACACACCACAGTGAATTGCTCATGATGGTTTTAATTTGCATTTCCCTGAGGACTAATTATGTTAAGCACCTTTTCCTGTGTTTAGTGACCGTGTATATCTTTTGGTGCATTTTTTTTACTTTTGTTGTTTTTTGTTGTTTTGTTTTGTTTTTGGTTCATTTAAAAACAAACCGTCTTGGTTTTTGTGTCTTTGTTTTTTTCATTTTATTTGAGAGAGAGAGAGAGCAGGAGGAGAGGAGAGGGGCAGAGGGAGAGAGAGAGAATCCTCAGCAGGCTCCATGTTCCACACGGAGGGGAGGGCTGAGGGGAGGGCCAACATGGGCCTGACTCAGGGCTTGATCTCATGACCCTGGGATCATGACCTGAGCCAAAACCCAGAGGCAGTCGCTCAACCCCAACTGAGCCACCCAGGCACCCCTAAACAACCTGTCTTTTTATTGCCAATTTGTAAGAAGTCTTTGTATTTTGGCATAGTTCTTCCTTAGATACTTTTTATTGCAAAAAATGTTTGCCTACCTCAAGGTCATGAAGATATCTTTGGTGTTTTCCTCTAGAATCTTTCTGGTTCTGAATTTTATCTTTAGGTCTATGATCCAAATTGGCTTAATTTTTGTGTAGAAACTGAGGTGGAGGTTGAGTTTCCTTTTTTTCCCCTTTCTCAATACAGAATACAATACAAATACAATACATACTCTGTTTAAAAAAATTATTTTCGGGGCGCCTGGGTGGCTCAGTCGGTTAAGCGTCCGACTTTAGCTCAGGTCATGATCTCATGGTTCGTGGGTTCAAGCCCCACACGGGTTCTGTGCTCACAGCTCAGAGCCTAGAGCCTATTTCAGATTCTGTGTCTCCCTCTCTCTCTGCCCCTCCCCCACTCCTGCTCTGTCTCTCTCTGTCTCAAAAATAAATTTAAAAAAATTTAAAAAGTTATTTTCCCCATTGGCGTTTTGGTCAAAACTCAGTTGATGTATACATTTGAGTTTATATCTGGACTTTATTCCATCAATTTACTGTCTATCTTTACATAAGCATTTCACTGTTTTTGATGACGGTGGCTTTATAGTGAGTTTGAAGTCAGAAGGAACTAAGTACTTCAATTTTGCTCTTTTCCAAAATTGTTTTGAGGGGCACCTGTGTGGCTCAGTGAGAAGAACATGTGACTCAGGGTCATCAGTTCAAGCCCCATGTTGGGTGTAGAGATTACTTAAAAATAAATAAACTTAAAAACAAAATCGCTTTAATCACTTTACATTCTTTACATTTCCACATACACCTTAAATCAGCCCATCAGTTTCTTTGAAATGTCTGTTGAGAGGGATTGTGTTGAATCCAAAGGCCAATTTGGGATACATCCTGACCAGGAACTCTGTAGAGAACTCGGGTTAACTCTCTATTTTGGTCTTTGAGTTCTCTCAGCATGATTTTCAGTGTAAAGCTCTTGCCTCGCTTTCATTAAATTTATTCCTGGTATTTGATGTTGTTTATGCTATTTAATATGGTGATTTGATTTTCCATCGTTTTGTTGCTATAATGTAGAAATACAATTAATTTTTTTGTACATTGGTTTCTTCTCCTACAACCTTGTTGAATTTATTAGTTCTAGGTGTATTTGTTTTGTTTTGGTATCTATTCTATCCCTAAGGCACTTCTACTATGGGCTTGCATGACGGAGATGGTAACAGCGCCTGTGCTGAGAAGGAATGTGATTTTTTTTTTAATGTTTTATTTATTTCTAGGAGAGAGAGAGAGAGAGAGAGACAGCGTGAGCAGGGGAGGGTCAGAGAGAGAGGGAGTCACAGACTGAAACAGGCTCCAGGCTCTGAGCTGGCAGTCAGCACAGAGCCCGACGCAGGGCTTGAACCCACGAACCGCAAGATCATGACCCAAGCGAAAGTCGGACGCTTAACCGACTAAGCCACCCAGGCGCCCCAAGAATGTGATGATTTATACTGGACAGCGTTTAACTTATGGTGTTTGGGCCCCACCCATCTCACTAAAACTGAGTCTTTGATGGGGAGGGGCCATGTGCAGCGTCTGTAGTTTTAAAGTTTCTGGGGAAATTCTAGGAGTGCAGTTAAGTACCCCCAATTTAGAAGGTGCTAGGCAGCAGACAGAGCCAAAGGCCACCCGCGCCAGAGGAGGCCTGGGGGGGTTGACTCGCACGCCGGGTCGGAGGGAGCTTGTGGGCGAAGGCCGCGGCCACACCCTCTCCGTCTTGGAAAAGGGCAGAAGAGTTCCGGGTTCCCTTCGCGGCCAGGGCGAGTGGGAGGACAGCGCCTCACCGACAGGCGCCCCCGCCTCTCCCTTCTGATAAACCGGCCTAATAAATGCCGTCACCGCCGGGGCTCACAGTCTCCTCCACTACCCCCGCGGAACACCTGTCTCCACCCTCACGTCCCCATCCCTCCGAGAGGGCCCTGGGGACACCAGAGCTATTCCCTGCAGGCTTTTCCAGGATGAACCGACCTCCCGGTTTCGGCGAGGAAACTGAGGCCCGGAAGGGCCAGGGACCCGTGCGAGGCCGCGCCCCAAGTCCTACATTCTTCCCATCGCCCCTTCCAGGTACACACAAATTAAAGAGGAGCTGGAGGAGTTGGACCGCATCACAGAGCAGACGCTCTACGACCTGTACAAATACAACTCCTCGAGCACCCTGGGGACCCACCCCCGCGGTCGTCGCGACCTGCGGGAGACCTGGCCGCACCCGCTGCAGCGCCTTGGGGCCCCAGCCCCGCCCCCCGGGGCTCGCGGAGTCCGCAGCGCCGCCTCCAGCGTGCGGGACAATAACCCCCAAGTGAACAGGAAGGACTGGAAGATCGGCTTCCAGTTGGTAAGGCCCCGCCCCCGGAGGCCCCGCCCCCGGCCCTCGGGTCCCGCCCACGCCCCGCTGCGCTCCCTTTCCGGACCCCGCCTCTGTTGCCTAGCGACGGGAGGCGGGACCTCGTCGGCTTGCTGGCAAAATAACTAATAACGTTTCTCCGAACGCCAGTTTGTGGGGGTCTCCTTACTGGGACCCCTGTGGGAGGGTTTGCGCTTCCGGAAGTCAAGTCTGTTGTGGAAAAAGCACCTTTGTGAATCGGCAGCCCCCCACTGGTGGGGACTCACTGGTGGGGACTCCGCTGGGACCCTCCTGCGTGGCAGGGAACTGGGGCTCTGCCTGCCTGGGACAGAGAATAAAGAATCAATAAAATGAGAGACTTAAAAAATTGTTTTAATAAAAAACAAAAGGGAGAGTAAGTGGGAGTGGGAGAGGAGCAGAGGGAAGAAGAAAGAGAGGCCCCCTTTGGGGAGCGTGGACCCGGCGACCAGGAGACCTGGGTTCCGGTCTTCGCTCAGTCGCTAGGGCAAAGCTCTGGATTCCTCCGTCTTACCGTCAGTAGTGGGGTGACGGACCCATGCTCCGCCCTCTCGCAGGGGCTGTAGAAATGCCCCACAAGGTGTGTACAGCTCCTGATCTCCTTAGCCAACTGCTCCCGTCAGCTTAGGCACTCCGGGTTCCTGTTCCTCCCCACTCCTGGCTCCCCACCCATCATCAGTCCTCAGAATCCCGGACAACTCATTCCTTGACCTTAGCCTGCCCTGCAGCCTGTCCCCTGCTGATGACCCTCTGACACTCTGTGGTCTCTGTTTAGTGCAACCAGAACAAATCGGACTGCTTCTACCAGACATACTCGTCAGGGGTGGATGCGGTGAGGGAGTGGTACCGTTTCCACTACATCAACATTCTTTCTCGGCTGCGGGACACTTCTCCAGCCTCGGAGGAGGACATGCTGGACAACTTCATCTTCGCCTGCCGCTTCAACCAGGCCTCCTGCAATCAGGCGTGAGTCCCTGCTCTCCACCGGGTCTCCTTTCTGAAGCCCTTTCTGAAGCCAGTCTGAGGCTCATACGGGCAGCACCCAGGGAGGAGGGGAAGCACTGACCTCAGGTCCAAACTTCTGCCCCATGGATTATCCTGCTGGGTCTGAGTGAGGCCACCTAATAGGAATGCCCTGGGAAGGCTGGAGTTGAGGTCTGGCTTTGAGAATCCAATGGTTCATGAATCCATGAATCCATGAATCCATGGTTCATCTTTCGAAGGTCCCTTTGTCAACTAGCACCAAACTCAAAAGGGCCTGGAAGGTCATCTTCTCAGATAAGGTGGAGGTTTGGAGGAAAACAGCCTCAGTTGAATGAGGGGGGTGAAACTGAGCCCCTGCTCTGGCTCTGGAACTTTCCGGCCAGGTGACTCTGGGCATTTCATATCACTCTTCAGAGCCCATTTCTTTGTAAAATACGGGGAAAATGAGATTCATTCAGTGTGCATTCAGACAAATTCTTTTTACTGTGTGGGCTCTGTGTCAGTCACTGTTCTAGGCACTTGGGACACATCAAACAGGGCCATGTAGATAATTCGTGCCCTTCTGGCACTTTTACTCAAGTGATGGAGATGTTGATCACACCCACCTCCATGAGATAAGCATGAGGGCATTTTGTAAACTGCAGTGAAAAATGGGTCTCCTTGCTCTTGAACGCAAATAGGCAAATGTGACTTGCCCTAGGCCACCAGGTTAGCCCTAGCTAAGGTTCCTTCCCACTCAACTGTACTGCCCGCCAGGCATTCCCTCTGCTATAACTTCAGTCATGATGTCCTTGCAAAGAGGTCATGGCAGCTGGCAGTTCTGAGGCTGCAGCCTCTGGCTCCTCCTACCCCATCCCTCCCCTCCCCTCCTCTCCTACTTCTGCTTCTTGGCTTTCACCTTTTCAGGCACCACCTCCCTGCCTCTGCTGAGGAAGGGTGCTAAGGCAGCCTCTCAGTTCTCTCGGGACCCTTCCCTCCCAGGTCTCGGCAGAAGACAGCAGGGCCAGGTGTCACCTGCCTCTGCCCTGCCTCACCTGGCGCACACATGCGGGTGGCACAGGATTTTGTTCTTGTCTCTAGTCTTCTTGTTTGTTTGAAGACAGGAGCTACCTGCTGGGAAGTGAGACAGTAGCAGTGCCTGAGCCCCAGTGATCTCACCCTGCCACTGAGTGTCTCTAATTGTCACCTTCCCACCGGCCCTCTTGCTTTGCCAGTCCCATGCTCCTACCTCCCCATCACCGGAAAGTCCATCGTTCATCTCAGTCTTGACAGTTAGGTCACTTCCTTAGCTCAGAGCCTCATCATTTCTCACCCAGGTTTTTTTTTAATTTATTTCTGAGAGAGAGAGAGACAGCATGAGCAGGGGAGGGGCAGAGAGAGAGGGAGACACAGAATCTGAAGCAGGCTCCAGGCTCTGAGCTGTCAGCACAGAGCCCGACGTGGGGCTCGAACCCACGAACCGTGAGATCATGACCTGAGCCGAAGTCGGACACTTCACTGACTGAGCCACCCAGGCGCCCCACACCGTGTTATTATAATCCCTTCACCTCCTATTATCTTTCTGCCGCCAAAGCCTCTCCGTATTCTGCAACCCTTCAGGTTAGTCCTGCTTAAAATCCTCTACTGTCTCCCGTGGCCTCCAGAACCAAGTTGAAGCTCCTTATCATGGTTCTCTCATCCCTCTCCTCCCCTATGTTACCCTTCTCCTTCTCTGTGATCTTTTCGCCAATAACAGCTTGATTGAGATACAATTCTCACACCACAAAAGTCACCCTTATACATGTATACCATTCAGTGATTTTTAGTATACTCAGGATTGTGCAAGCCCTATCTAATTTTAGGATATTTTCCTCACCACTAAAAGAAACCCTACACCTCCTAGCAATCACTCCCGATTCCCTCCCCTCCTCCAAGCCCTGGAAACCAGGAATCTACTGTCCATCTACATGGGTTGCCTATCGCAGGCATTTCAGAGAAATGGAATCTTACACTATGTGACCTTTGTTCCTGGCTTCTTTCACTTAGCTTCATGTTTTCAAGGCTCATCCATGTTGCAGCATGTATCAGAACTTCATTCGTTTTATGGTTGGGTAATATTCCATTGTATGGATATCCCACATTTGATTTATCTATTCCTCAGTTGATAGACATTTGGGTTGTTTCCACTTCTTGGCTATTACGAATAATGTTAAGAATATTCTTGTGCAAGTTTTTGTAGGGATGTATGTTTTTATTTCTCTTAGGTATATACCTGTGAGTGGAATTGCTGGGTCATGTGGTAATTCTATATTTTGAGCAACTGTCAGATGGTTTTCCAAGTAGTTGTGCCATTTTGCATTCCCCCGGCAGTATATGAGGGTTCTAAATTCTCCTCAGCCTCCGCTGGTTACTGTCTTTTTCACTTTAGCCATCTTAACAGATGCCTGTAACATTAATAGCAAATGTATACAGTTCTTACTAAGTGCTAGACACTGTTCCAACTATAATTTCATCCTCACAACACCCTTGTGAGGTAAGTCCTGTTCTTATCCCCATTTTACAGAGGAGGAAATTACAGCATGAAGAGATTAAGTAACGTGGTTGGTCCCACAGCTAGTGCTTGTTAAAGCTAGGGTTCAAGTATGGGTAGTTTCGTTCTGGAGTCTGTGTTCTTAACCATCACGTTATATTGCTTCTCATATATTCTCCTACACATACATAAGTGGTTGTGTCTCATTTCACCTCTTTTTTTCCTAAGCTCTGTTTTAAAGATCCATCCGTGTTGTTGCATTTAATTGCTTGATTCTACCTGCTATGTCGCGTTCGTGGTGTGCGTGCATCACATTGTACCTGGCTGTCCCCTCCCCTGCTTCAGGACGGGCCTCTGTTCACTTCTGTAGCATCTTCTCCCATCCTTCCCTGAATCCAGCCTTAGCGCTGGAAACGCTGGCTTCCTAGCACTTCTGTGTGTCCACCAGTATTTCATATCTCTAGGCCTTTGTTCTTCAAGACCCATAGAATATTCCAGATCATCTAGTTCCAGCCTCCTCATTTTACAGGTGAGAATAAGCTTAGAAAAAATGACTTGCTCAGGGCCATCCCACCAGAACCCTGCTCCCACTCATCTCTGCCCTGGCCCCTGACCTTCCTCCGCTCAGCTGCATGCTCACCACTGCTCTCGCTGTCTCCTCTAACTCTGTTCCCGTCCCTTCTCCATTCGACCACTGTTTATTAACGATCTCCTGGAGGGCCCTACATGTCAAGAACTATGCAGTTAACCCAGAGATGATACAGAGGTGAAGGAGACGTGACTCCTGTCCTCAAGGAGATCACAGTCCAAATGGGGAACTAAGATTTAGATACGTGAGAAGCTAGGGATGCTGCCAAAGTCTTCATAATGCAACACAGTGACACAAGAGAGTTCACAAGGCCAGTGAGGTCAGGTGGCCTGGGAGGGAGGAGACTGTGCTTGAAGTCTCAAGTTTGTCGTCACTGTTTGTGTGACCTTGGGCAGCTACTTGAGCTCTCTGAGCTCAGCTTCCTCTTCTGTGACGTGGGGATGATGCCCTCACAGGCTGTTGGTTGGAGTGGCTGAGGGAACATGGGGAAAGCTTCTAGCGCATAGTAGATGATCAGGAAACAAAGGTCACTGAAAGTCCTGCTCTCTCTGGCTCCCCTGCCCCCACTTTCCTTTCTGACCCTGCCTTTTCTCTATCCTGGATAGGAATTACTCCCACTTTCACCACCCAATATATGGGAACTGCTACACTTTCAATGGCAAGAACAACTCTAACCTCTGGATGTCTTCCATGCCTGGGATCAAAAATGGTGAGCAAGTCCTCGCTTCTGCCATCCCTGTGTGTCAGCACTTCTTGCGGCCCTGCCCACCCACATTTACCCACCCTGTGCTCATGTCCTAGAGGTCCAGTGTGCCTCTGGGCCTCCCCACAACATGCCCGTCTCCATCCTGGAAGGAGTCCTCTCTGTTCTTTGTCCCCCGTGGGCGCCACCAAGTCCTCTCCAGGTGTTACAGGAATCTTGTCCCAGTTCTCCCTGTCCACTCCTGAATCCAGCCCAGGAGCTTCCTGGCCTTGCTCTCTGTGGAGCATTAGAAACCAGGCGTGTGGAAGGGGGGTTTCCGTCCCCCAATACTTCTCCAAGACCTCCCCCGCTCTGCTCCCTCTGCACCCCCAGGTCTGTCCCTGACGCTGCGCACAGAGCAGAATGACTTCATCCCGCTGCTGTCCACAGTGACCGGGGCCAGGGTAATGGTGCACGGGCAAGACGAGCCTGCCTTCATGGACGATGGCGGCTTTAACTTGAGGCCTGGTGTGGAGACCTCTATCAGCATGAGGAAGGCAAGGGAGCTGCCTGGGAGGCTGGGGAGGAGAGCCGCAGGTTGGAGCCAGCAGGGGAGGTGACTGGGCAGCCAGAAGGCTGTAGAGGGAGATCATGTGGGGTGGGTCTGAGGCAGGGGGAAGTCTTCAGGAGCCGAGTTAGGGGCGAGGGGCTGGCAGAGTAGGGACCTGAGGAGGGACCTTGGGTGAGGGTGCTGAGAAGGGCTCAGGACGTGCTTGCTCCGGGGACTGCTCTGGAGCCAGCGACCTTGAAAGTAGCACCTGGATGGACGTTGGGGGCCGCTGGGGGCATGTTTCGAAATGGCAAGGCAGACAGGAGAGGCTGGTCCAGTGCACGATACAAACCGCCTGGACCTGAGGGAAGACGGAGAATTCAGGAAGAGGCCTGGCCACTTGCTCTGACCTCTGACCTCTGACTTCTCTGTGTGTATGGGGTTTGCAGGAAGCCCTGGACAGACTTGGGGGCAACTATGGTGACTGTACGAAGAATGGCAGCGACGTCCCCGTGGAGAACCTTTATCTTACCAAGTATACACAGCAGGTGAGACCAGCCTGTTTCCACGGCAACCACCTCCTGGGCCTGCGGTGTTGGTCAGTCCAAGCTGGAGGGCTGTGTGTGTGAGGGGGGGGAGGGGCAGGTGGAAAGATGGTGCAGGCCCGGTGAAGAGCATTGTTCATCCCCCCTTCCCTGCCTCTTCTGGGCTGTGTGTGGGGAGGGCAGGCCCGAACCCCCTGTCCCTTCTCCCCCAGGTGTGTATCCACTCCTGCTTCCAGGACAGCATGATCAAGGAATGTGGTTGTGCCTACATCTTCTATCCGTTGCCTAAGAACGCGGAGTTCTGTGACTACAGGAAGCATAACTCCTGGGGTGAGACCGCAGGGAGCCCCTGGCCAGCCCCTCTGCTCCAGGACTCTCCCCTCTCAGACCCTCTGTGACCCTCATTCTCCCTCTGTCCTGCACTCCAGCGCTTAGACTCACCTCGCTGTTTCCTCTCACTCTGTCTCTCCCCTCTCTCCGCTTCCTCCCTCCCAGCTTCTCTCTCTGGGTTTTGGCTTCTGTGTGTTTATAGAGAACGGCCCCATTTAAAAATAACTTGCAGCAGAAGGAAGGAAGAGCACGTGAGGAAAATCTCCCTCGCTGGCTCGCTTGCTCCACACTCTGCCTGTAGCTTCCCTGTCTCACACACAGCTCACCAGGTGCAGGAAGAAAATACTAGAAGTTATATGTATCTATCTCGTTCCCCAACATCTTCCGTTTTGTATGTTTTATAGCGTACCTAATGGTTCAATGCTATTGTAGCAGGTATGTAATTTACAAATCAAATACATATGTTGGAATTGCTTATTTAAGACCTTTTTACCTACAGGAAGGCACAATCAAAAAAGTCTGGAGGGCACAGAGATCTCCTTTCTAATCCTGGATTAGGAGTAGACAAATGCATGTTCCTTTCCACTATAGCTGAGTTATGCCGCATGGAGGATCTGTGCTAGGAAGCTGAGAGAGAAAGGAAATCCCTAATGAGAAACTGGAAAGTTCAGGGTTGGCAATCCTGGTACACAGGCTCTTCTTACCTGGCACGGGCCACCGGTCCTCCTGAGGGTCCTCTTATCCAGGCTCCCCCTGGGCCCAGCTCTCCCCCTGCTGGTGGCCACTGCTGGAGGAGATGAGCCTCCGCACCTCTGAAGGGACGGGCAGACCCCAGAGGTTAGTGTCTGCCTTTCTGGGTTCCGTCCCTGTGGATCTTTCTGCCTCCTCCCTTCAGCTGTCTCCCCTGCTCGGTACTTGGTTACTTGGTTCCCGTCTCTCCCACCTTAGGTCAGAGCGCGTCCGAGCTGGAGGGGAGCTCAGGATCCCAGGGGGAAGACGTGATGTCATTTCTGAGGACAAGGACGGTGTGCAGAGCAGGGACTCCCTGCCCCTTCCTCCCCGCTGCCCCCAAACAATGATTTCTAAGTGCTTGTGAGTTTGAGGATCTGTAAGAGGAAAATAACAATGCTGCTTGCTGGAGAAGCCGTGGGGATGGGGAGAGGAACAGTCTGCTCTTTCCCAGAGGGAGGGGCCCAGCTGCCCCCCACATTTCACTGTTCCAGACCCCCAGCCCTGGTAGATAGAGGGATTTGGGTCAGAAAAGGAGAAGGACTTCTGGACCACTGAAAGTAGCAAGAATGACACTAGAACTTACTTAGAACTTGGCAAACAGGGGAGAGGGGAGATCCGTAGACTCATCCCCTCCCTCCCCCACCCCTGTTTCTTTTTAGGTAACAACTTTATTGAGATCATGTCTATCCCATTCAGTATAGTTTTAGTTTTCAGTATAGTCACCGAGCTGTGCAGAAGTGGCCACAGTCAAGTTTAGAACGTTTCCTTTGCTCCAAAAAGAAACTTCTTACCCATTAGCACTCTCTGAGCTCCCCATTCCCTGCACCCGCAACCCCCTACTTTACCCCCAGAATTGACTAATCTACTTTCTGTCTCTACAGATTGCCTTATTCTGGGCATATCATATAAATGGGATCATATCATATGTGGTCCTTTGTGACTCACTTCTTGTTTTTAGCACAGCATTTTCTTTTCTTTTTAGCACCGTATTTTCAAAGTTCATCCACCTTGTAGCATTGATCAGTACTTCGTTTTTATGGCTGAATAATATTCCATTGTACAGATATGTCACATGGGTTTATCCATTCATAAGTCGTGGACATTTGGGTTGTTTCTATTTCCTGTTTCCATTTTGTGTATGAACGTTTGTTTTCAGTTCTCTTGTGTATATACCTAGTAGTGGAGTCTCTAGGTCATATCATAACTCTGTGCTTAACATTTTGAGGAACTGCCAGACTCTTCCGAAGTGGCCACACCATTTTACATTCCCAGCAGCAATATAGGAGCATCCTAGTTTCTTCACCTCCTCACCAATACTTATTTATTTGTTTATTTTGAATAGCCGTCCTCGTGGGTGTGAAGTGCATCTCATTGTTCTTACATAACAACTGTTCCCAGTTTTCTTTTTGACTTTTATTTTATTTTGTATTTGAGAGAGAGAGAAAGAGCATGAGAGAATATGAGTAGGGGAAAGGGGCAGAGGGAGAGAGAGAGGGAAAAAAGTGGGGGTCAATCCCATACCCTGGGATCATGGCCTGAGCCATCAGTCAAGAGCTGGATGTTCAATTGACTAACCACCCAGGCACCCCTCTTTTTGAATTTTAGATTTTTGTCCATATCCTGCTCATCTTTTCATAGATGAATCCTGGGCTGATTTTGTTTTTTCTGGTTTTCTTCCTTACTTAGCTTAATTTTTTAAATTAATGTTTTTAACGTTTTTATTTATTATTGAGAGACAGAGGGAGACTCAGCATGAGCATGGGAGAGGCAAAGAGAGGGGGAGACACAGAATCTGAAGGAGGCTCCAGGCTCTGAGCTGTCAGCACAGAGCCCAATGCGAGGCTTGAACTCACAAACAGCAAGATCATGGTCTGAGCCGAAGCTGGATGCTTAACCGACTGAGCCAACGGGCACCCCCACTTAGCTTAATATTTTAAACATTTTTTGGTGTTGCCACTCAGGAGACATCACTGTAATGCTACTTATGATGTGTGATATGCTACATATTTTGGGAGACCTCTTGGGTCTGGGGTGGAGAAGGTTGAGGTGCCCTAGGAAAATGGGCATCTCCTTGCACCCACAGGTTACTGTTACTATAAGCTCCAGGATGCCTTTTCCTCAGACCGCCTGGGGTGTTTCACCAAGTGCCGGAAGCCCTGCAGGTGAGTGTCCCCTTCCCCTGGGACACTAGCTGGGCACCCACTTGACTGGGTGGGAGAAGCCCCATCACTGAGCTCCTTTCTCCATCCCCAGTGTGACCAGCTACCAGCTCTCTGCTGGTTACTCACGATGGCCCTCAGTGACATCCCAGGTAATGTGGGGAAGGGGAGGGGTAGGAGGGAGAGGGGACGCGGGCACTTGTGCATGTGTGTGCGTGTGTGTAACACTGTGGTCTTTTCTGGGTGTATGTGTACGGATACCCCTGCCCCCCGACCCTATACGCCTGAAGAGTATGAGGTGACCCCATTGACACCCCCATTCTTTTCCAGGACTGGATCTTCCAGATGCTATCCCGACAGAACAATTACACCATCAACAACAAAAGGTCAGTCCCACCCTGACCCACCTGGGGAGAGGAATCCTTGGGAGGGAAAACCCAATCTGGGAAGAGGACGAGATCAGAGGAGGGTGTTTATGAGAAGTGAACCCATTGCCATTTCTTCCTCCTCTCTCCCTAACTCCAAAGGAATGGGGTTGCCAAACTCAACATCTTCTTCAAGGAGCTGAAGTACAAAACCAATTCTGAGTCTCCCTCTGTCACGGTATGTCCCTACTGAGCCTGCAATTCTCTTGGAGACCTTAGTGGGTGTCTGTCAGGGAAAACGAGGGGCTGCCTCTGTGGGACCAGAGGGCCCGGGCCTTGAAGGCAGAGACCAAGGAAAGGGGGGGGCAAAGGTCAGGTTGCAAAAGTTGGAAGAAGGGGAACTTGACTGGTGGATGAAGTCTCTGGGTGTGGTGGGAGGGAAGGGTGCTCCAGGTAGGTAAGACTAAGACAGAAGGGGTTCAGGGGGCCACCAGGAGGTTGAGAGGGGTGGGTAAGGACTTCGGGGAGGAAGGGACGGGGCTCTCCTTCCGGAGCCCAGCAGGGCCCCCTGCCCCAGGAGTCAGTGTACCTTTCTCCCTCACAGATGGTCACCCTCCTGTCCAATCTGGGCAGCCAGTGGAGCCTGTGGTTCGGCTCCTCGGTGCTGTCTGTGGTGGAGATGGCTGAGCTCATCTTTGACCTCCTGGTCATCACATTCCTCATGCTGCTCCGGAGGTTCCGAAGTCGATACTGGTCTCCAGGTCGAGGGGGCAGGGGTGCCCAGGAGGTGGCCTCCACTCCAGCTTCCTCCCTCCCCTCCCATTTCTGCCCCTACTCCACATCCCCGCCAGGCCCTGCTACCTCCCCAGCCTTGATGGCCCCTCCGCCTGCCTATGCCACTCTGGGTCCCTGCCCATCTCCATCCAACTTGGTGGGGGCCAGCCCCTCTGCCTATACTTGGGGGGAGCCCTGAGAGGGAAGGAAAGTGCCCTCCCCTCCCAAGGCAGGCGCTTCCCCTGGTGGGAGGGGACCAGGCTTGGCAGGATTAAAGAATGTCTTGGGACTTCCTCTCGAGCTGCCTAACTGCCTTTGGTGTGGGGGAGGGAAGCAGGATGGATAAGGGGCTACAGAAATTGCCCAGGAAACAGGAGCCAGGGAATCTGCCTAGCATTGCCCTGGCTTCTGTCCTGTACCCTCTGGTCCTGCCTCTAGAAGACTCTGATTTCCCTACCTGACTGCCAACAAATCTCCTTTTCCTTGGGATCAGCCAAGTCAAACTTGGAGCTCAGACAAGGAACCTTCCTAGGAAACCACTGGCGACCGGAAACAAAACACAAGCAAGGGCACACAGAGCCATGCACAGGTTTCCTACCCAAAGATGACTGAAGCCAACCCCGGGCTTGGCCACACTGCTTTCCAGTGACACAGACATTTGCTCCTCTTCTTGAACTTGAGTGGGGAACCCCACCCAAAAGCCCCCTTTGTTAGTTCTTGGGCAATTCCCCTTCCCAGGGTAGGGGCCAGAACAGACCAATGTAGTAAAGGCTTAGCCATTCCTAGTTGGCTCCAGGCTTCTTCCAGCCTCATCTAGCCTGTATCCCCATGGAGCCATATCCCAATGCCTCTGTGTCCTTCATGCCTCTGCATATTTGCTCAAACTATTTCCTTGGCCTACAAGCTTTCCACACCATCTGGAGAACTCCTATGTATCTCTTAGGACCCTATTCAGACACCACTACTTCTGGGAAGCCTTCTGCCTCTTCTTATCTGCCCCGGATTTGATCACTTCCCTCTCCGCTGGACTCCCATAGCACACCATAACGTCTCTTGGGGTGCCGATGTTGCATTATACCTTCTTGTTCATTTGTGTCTGCCTCCCCAGCTAGACTGTGAGCTCCTTGTGGTCAGGAACTGAATCTTGTTCATTTATGTATCCTCAGGGTCTAGCCCAGTGTCCCGCTTGGAGCAAGTAGGCAGGTGCTCAATAAATATTTGTTGCATAAAGAATGTCTGGAGGGCTGTGTGGGGGTATGGAGTGGATGCAAGTCCCTGGGTCACTGCCCAGGCCCCAGACTTCCAGACCCCTTGGCTTCGCTATGGAAGGGTCCATTCTTCAGGGGCACTGGCAGAAACAAACTTTGCTGCCAGCTCCTTCACGGGCGTAGCTGAGCATGTGCTAGGTGCCCATCACCATGTTAAGGAGAAGTCATGGTGCTGCTCTCCTTGGGAGACCTACTGGCCAGTGCTTGGGATGACTCACCCTTGTCCACTGTCTAGACTTCCTTTTCTCCCTAACTTTACTTACCAGCATCAGTAATCCTCCTCTGTGATCACTGAGTGCTACCTTCTACCTAGCTGTAAGATAACACCCTCACCTGCCCACCTCCCCATCAACTGCCCAGTAGTGGGGGTGGCATGGGAGGATGAGACTCAGGGCGGCTTCTTCCGGAACCTCAAAGCCTGCTATGTTCTATTCTCTCATTGTTGCAGAGAGCAGCATCAGGAATCCCTTCTGCTTTCAATATAGATAAACTGAGAGATGTGTGAGTGGAACCCCAGTTTTTAGAACACTGGCTCCTTTCTCTAGCATCAGACCTGGAATCCAGAAGTTATTCTTCCTTGTCGTCTTTGGGGACACTTTCCTTGCTGCCTAGGTCTTACCTTCCTCGGTTACAATCTCCCTGTCCTGAGGGGCCATGGGAACCTTGGGGAAAGAGCGGGAGATAGTGAAGGGAGTGGAGAGGTAGGAAAGGTTGTGATCAGGAACTGACGCGAGAACTTCTGACTTCCCTTTCCTAGACTCAAGCTGATGAGGGGAAAATGGTGGTGTCACAACAGTCTCCTCTGTCAGAGCCCCTTTGCTCTCTGCCACAGCCCAGCCTAGGCCTTGCCCCTTCCCGTTCCCAGCCCCTCTCCCCTGGCAGATGAAGCTGGCTCCATTATGGATGAGGGCAATTAGCTCCTCTGTCCCCCACACCCCTACTAACCATGCTGGAATTTCCTTATCTCCATCCCTTATCTATGTACATACCCCTGAACAAGGTTTAGGAGTTAGAATTGATGTCAGAGAAGAAAGGCTTTAGGTTGCCTCCTTTTCCTTATAGAGTAGGTTAGCAGGTGACGTGATTTGCCCAAGTTCATGATTCTCACAGACCCAGCCTGGAGCCCAGTCTCCTGCTATGACTCACCCTATCTCCCTGCCACACATGGAATTGAATGGCAGGGCTGGGGCTAGAACCCATGTCACCTTGACTTGGAGTCCAGTGCCCTTGTGATCACTCTGTGCTGCTGTGGGAGTATGTGTGACCTGTGATGGGGAGGGGTCTCCGCTCTTCTTTCTTCATCCATTGCTCCATAAGCCATAACAGCCAATTCCATCATCCCCTCTGCTATTTTTCCATCTCCATTTCCTCCGTCACCATTATTTCTTTTTGCCCTAGAGAGGTTATGGCTACATTCTCACCTCCTCTATCCTCCATGAGATTAGTTAGCCTTTCATACTTCTTTTCTAAAAGTTTTTATTTATTTTTTTACTAAAATATATATATATATACCCAACATAGGACTTGAACTCATGACCTGGAGATCAAGAGTTGCACGCTCTTCCTACTGAGCCAACCCAGCCTTTCATATTCCTACCAACACCCATCCCTCACCATTTTTAAAAAAAATGTTTACTTATTTTTGAGACACACAGAGAGACAGAGAAGGAGTAGGGGAGGAGCAGAGAGAGAGGGAGACACAGAATCTGAAGCAGGCTCCAGGGTCTGAGCTGTCAGCACAGAGCCCAACACAGGGCTTGAACCCACAAACCATGAGATCATGACCTGAGCTGAAGTCAGTTGCTTAACCATCTGAGCCACCCAGGTGCCCCAAACCATTTTTTTAAAACAGAATTTTATTGAACAATTTAATACCACATTTTTCAAAATTTAAAGTAAATACACATTTATCCTAAACAATGAAAGAAACTCTCTTTTTGTGCCAGGCTACATATAATGTTAAAAAAATTTTTTTTTAACTTTTACTTAGTTTTGAGACAGAGAGGATGAGCTGGGGAGGGGCAGAGAGAGAGGGAGAAACAGAATCTGAAATAGGCTCCAGGCTCTGAGCTGTCAGCACAGAGCCCGATGCGGGGCTCAAACCCACGGGCCGTGAGATCATGACCTGAGCCAAAGTTGGACATCTATCCGACTGAACCATCCAGGCGCCCCACATATAATGGCTTTGACAGTTGACACAGACTATTAAAAATTCCTTGTAACACTAAGAATTAGGACATTAAAGTTATTAATTGTGCAACTCTTTTTTTTAAATTTAAAAATTGTTTATTTTTGACAGAGAGACAGAGTGTGAGTGGGGGAGAGGCAGAGAGAGAGGGAGACACAGAATCTGAAGCAGAGCTGTTAGCACAGAGCCTGATACGGGGCTCGAACTCACAAACCGTGAGATGGTGACCTGAGCCAAGTCTACTGCTTAACCAACTGAGCTACTCAGGCGCCCCTAATTGTGCAACTCTTAACATTGCTACCACTTACTGAATGCTTAATATATGGTAAACACTTCCTTCTCCAGAAGCTGGAGAATGGAGTGGAGTGAAGTCAGCCAGAGAGAGGTGGGAGACATCTGAGTTCCATTCTCATCTACAGATGCCCTGCTCTTGGGCTCAAAGAGGGGAGGCCAGGGAGAGCCAGGGAGTGTGGAGTCTAAGGTGTGGGGTCAGCTGGTAGATCAAGGGGAAAGGGAACCAGGAGCTCTGATTCCAAGCCAGAAAGACCTTGGACCTCACCCCTGCAGTCTCCCTGCATTTCTAGCAACCTCAGCAGATGGAGGACCTCAGGCCTGAAAGGGGTATAGTGAAAGTCATTGTGCCTACAGGATATTTGGGTGAACCTTGTACCCTTGCTGTGGGATTCATCTGGGAGATATCCTGCACAAATGGGGTGGCATGAAATACCCAGAGTCAGAGTGTGGTGTCTGACTCAAGGGGACAGATAGAAAAGTGGCAATGTGTCTATCATAGCAAAATGGGACCTTGGACTGAAGCTGGGGCTCGGGGGTTTCAGCTGGCTGTGCAGAGAACATGCCATGTGTGTCCCCAGATTTTCTTATCTATAAAACAAGAGGCTGCAGTAGATTATGTCTAAGGTCAGTCTGGATTAATGTATCAGAGTATTTGGGAAAGGGGCACTGAGAATATACTGGTAATACCTGATCAAATATCTGTGATTTCCAAAGCATTTTCACGAATAATGATCTCATCAAGCCTCATGACAGCATTTTCCCCACGTAGGTGGGCTAGGCATCGTTACTGTCACTTAATAAATGAGGCTTGGGGGAGATTTTGCCACCGTTTTTTTTTTTTTTTTTTTTGTGGCAAAGTCACATCAGCAGTTAGAGGTCCCAGCCGGGCAGAGAGTGAATGAACACCTGATTGGGGCGAGGGTATCAGGGCGCCAGGGAGGGCAGAAAACTAGGGTTTGAGTTCACTCCGAGTTCAGGTTGGAGGGGTAAATTCCCAGCTAAGGGGGAGATTAGGGTGTGGGTGGAGAACTCCCGGGACAAGGGAAGAGCTCCTAAGGAATACCGATTACCTGTTATGGATCAGATGTTTACCTTTCCTGTCTCAGTCAATCCTTACAGTAACTCCAGGAGCGAGGGGCTCTCTCTCCATTTCACAGATGATCGGAAAACAGACACACAGAGTGTAGGTTATTTGTCCAAGACCATCCAGCTCAAAAGCAGAGGATTCTGAACTGGGACCCAGTGAACTGGACTCCAAAGCCCTGAATCGCTCTAGTGCTGTTCACGTGCGGAAGGTCGGGTGACGGGGTGAGGAGGGAGGGGCTTATTGCACCGTGGGGTTGGGTCGGGAGGGGTGGGTTGGGGGCCCCAGGCTGTTGCATCTGGGACTCTGGCGCCTCTGACTGAGCTACGAAGGGTTAAGGACCTTCGCCCCCTCCTCCCGCCTCCTCCCGTCTCCTCCCCCAGGCTCTTCCTGTCCCGCAATTGCAACACCCCATCTGCCACTCTCCCTTCCCTCCCACCTCCACTCTCCTCTCTGCTTTGGTTTTCTCTTACTTCTCAGGACTCGGGCTCCGGCTCTGGCCTTCGGGGGGTGAGGTCTCTGGGACCAGGCGGCGAGCTTCACCCCAGCCCCTCCCCCGCGGCGGCCCAGCGCCCCTCTCCCCGCGCGCGCCCTTCTTGGGACCTCCCGGCCCCGCGCATCCCGGGCTCCGCCGCCGCCGCCACTGCCTGAGCCCTGATGGGGGAGTGAGAAGCCGCACTGGCCTGACATGGGCCTCCCCACCGTGCCTGGCCTGCTGCCGCCATTGGTGAGAGCCGGGCCGCGGGCCGAGGGGCCGGGGTGGGGGGAGGGGAGGGCGCCGCCCCGCAGGAGTGGGCCCTGGTCCCGGGCCGCGACCTTCCGCCGGCCTGGCGCGACTTCAAACTCGGCCAGAAGTTCGGGGGTCGCGTTCAGACGCCTGCGCCGAGTCGGAGACAGGGCGGCGGGTGAAAGAGAACCCGAGGACAGCCGTGGAAGTTTGCTGGGCTCCGGGGGTGGCCGGGAATGCGGGGCAGGTGATCCCCAAGGGCCGGGCGCATTTCGGGGGGGTAAGAAGAGGAGTGGAAGGACGCCTAGCCTACTTAGAGTCCAGATGATTCAGAGTTCCGACCTCTGGTCAGCTGGCCAGCTGGCCAGCGGGTGTGTGTGCGGCTGGGAGAGGTGAGGCTGCCCGTGGGCCCTGGCTGGGCAAACCTTGGCAGGGGGTAGGAGTTGGATGCTAGTGAAGGGGGAAACTGAGTCCGGGAACGGCGATGGGTTGGTGGGTAAGTTTGGGACGCTGTGCGTGTGTTGGAGAGGGGTTATTTGGGAGTGGAGGGGGAGCGAGATAGGGACGGGGCAGTGGAGAGGTCCCCAGGGCCAGGACTCCCACCTGCTGGCATCCCCCTCCTCTGCTTCTGGCTCAGCTTCTAGGCGGGTGGCCTCCATCGCACTGACTCTAGGGACTGACCCTAGACAGCTACCAGCACCTCCTCCTGGTCCCCGACGCTGTGCCAGCCTTCAGCCCCCTCCCCGCAGACCCAAACAACAATCCCTTGGTTTCTTCTTCTACAGATCAGTTTGGGGAAGTTGGTAGAAAGTTGTTTTCGTCACTGGAAAATGTCCCTTTCTTGTGCCTCAGGCTTGTTTCAATGTATCCTTGATTTCCCTGCATGTCCTGGAGCCAGTCTGTGCGATACCGTGAGCCCCTCTCCCCCACATAGTTGGGTGGATTTTCCTGGCCCGCATTGGCCAGTTTCTCCAGGGTCCCTGCCCTCCCCACTCTCCTCTCCTCTGGGTCTTGTCGTGTCTCTCCTAACCATTTCTTCCTTTTCTGTCAGTTTTCCCAGAAGTCTCCTTTTTGAAACTTTTGCTCCCAAGTTCCTTCCTCTCCCTCTCTTTTCTGCTGGGAGTCCCCATTTCCAGACCCTGATTCCCCACGCAGCACCTCTCTCAATCTGAGTTCTTACTGTTCTCCTCACTGTCTCACCCCCTTCTCCCCAGCCTGTCTCTCTCTCTCTCTCTTTTTTTCATTTTTGTTTATTATTGAGAGAGAGACAGAGACATACAATCTGATGGAGGCTCCAGGCTCCAAGCTGCCAGCACAGAGCCCAACATGGGGCTCAAACTCACAAATCGTGAGATCATGACCTGAGCAAAGTCGGACACTCAACGGACTGAGCCACCCAGGTGCCCCTCCCCAGCCTGTCTCTTGACTTCTCTCAAGCCTGTCCTTCTCCCAGACTCCCTCAGCCCCCATCCGGCTGCCTTGTCTTCTCTTCTCTCTTTGGGGGTACATCACTTGGATTCAAATCCTGGCTCCCTCACAGACTAGCTGCCTGAACTTGAGCAGACTACAGAACCTTTCATGTCTTAGTTTCTTTATCTCTAAAATGGATGTAATAGTCGCTACTTCCTAATATTGTTTTGAAGATTAAATTGTAACACAGTTGACCCTTGAACAAACACGGGTTTAAACTGCGCAGGTCCACTTGTACGTGGATTTTACCCCCATTAAACACAGTACTGTGAATATATTTTCTTTTTATAATGTTCTTAGTAACATTTGCTTTTCTCTAGCATAATTTCTTAAAAGAATGCAGTATATAATACAGATAACATACAAAATATGTGCTAATCGATTGTGATGTTATCGGGAAGGCTTCCAGTCAACAGGAGGCTATTACTTAAGTTTTGGGGGAGTCAAAAGTTGTATGTGGATTTGTGATTAAATGGGGGACGCCGTTGATTCTAACCTCTGCGTTGTTCAAGGGTCAGCTGTATGTTAGGTCTTCAAATTATTAAGTACTGGGTCTCTGCTGGGCGTTATTTTAAGTGCTGGGATTACAGCAGTGAACAAAATCTCTGCCCCCATGGAGTCTACAGTCTCGTAGAGGAGTAAGGTATAGAAAGCACTCAATAAACGTTAGATTTGTGTTGTTAGTATGGTGGTAATTATGTGTTTGGCAAACAGAGGGTACAGGTGGCCTGACCAGATAAAGGAAAGTGCCTGGTGGCTGGGCCGGAGGATGGCAGGTAGGAGGTTGGCTGAGAAGGGACCCAAGGTCAGCTTGGAGCTGGAGGGGAAACAGTAGGAATGAAAGGGCTGAGCTGTTTTCAATTGCTCACCAGTCACCGGGCAATACTGAGCACACCAGAGTGTGTGTGCGTGTGTGGGGGGGAGGTCGTGGGGAAGAATACAGGAGAGAGTGTGACAGTGCTCCTAGGGCTTTGCTGTTCTCAAAGAGCTTGTAGTCTGGGGGCAAAGATGGCTTACAGCAAAAAAATGATTTCAGAACAGTGTGGGGAGAATATCCACAAAAGCGTTTTGATGTGGTGCGCTGGAACACGGACGGGAAGCAGGACCAGGGAAGGGAATGAGCATCATCCAGCTGCCTTTGCTTGCTTAGCAGACCTCATCTCTGGTGTCCGTGCCCCAGGAGCCCCTCCCACCTAGCCCACAGGGCCTACAATGAATGGATTGTCTCTGACCCAGCTGAGAGCTTGATAGCGTGAGCAGCGTGTATTCATTCTAGGTCCCTAGCAGCTATATGGGACTTGGTGCCTACGTGGTGTTCCCTAACTCTTGAATGAATCAAGGAACAAGCATTGGTCAGATGGAATGAGGAAGGGAAAGCCTCATAGAAAAGTGGATTTAGAGTTGAGATTTGAAGTCATTGACTGGCAGCATGGCTAGAAAGAAGGGAGACTGGTTTGAGGGAGAGTAAGGGAATGGAGAGGTGGGATTTTGTGTTGGGGGTGATGGTGGCAGGAAGCTGAACACCTTGACTGGAGTGGAAGGACCATGTTGAGGAACAAGAAGATGTGAGAATGAGAAAATTGGAGGGAATGGGAGAGAGGAGGAAGAGAGACTCTTGAATATGGTCCCAGGTAGAGGAATTCACTCATTTATTCATTCATTCATTCACTCATTCATTCAGAAACAGTTCTCTGAAGGGCCCATGTCAGCTGAGAACGTGTTCAGAATAGCAGTGAGGTACATCTGCAAGTACTCACACAGGGAAGGAATGACTTGTGTGGAACCGATGTTTGAGGTCAGGCTCTGGAGAGGGAGATTCCCACGCATTTGGGTGCAAGTTGAAGCGTGAACTCAGATAAAATGGATTGGAGGAGAGGCTGGTGGCTCGGCAATCAGCTGGAAGACAGTTGCAATAATGCAAGTGTGAGGCAACCCATGGTTATGGACAGGACTGAGAGATCATGGAAGAAGGACTGGCGAGATGAACTGACAGGCCGGATGGTCACAGTATCGGGATGGGGGAGGGGGGGCGGGGGCCTTAGGAGAGAAGGGTGGAAAAGCTTTCGGCACTGTGGGTGTTGAGAACTTGGTGGTGTGACATTTGTCTAGACCAGGAGATTGATGAACTGAGTTTGGGGCATGTTGAAGGTCTGGGAATAGCCAAATGAAGTACCTAACAGACTAGAGCAGGGCTTCTCAAACTCTTATCTGCCTTTGGAACATTCACACGTGCAGCATTCAGTCACCAGCGATGCTCAAAAGGAGAGAAACACTCATCAAACTCTCCAGTGAGGGGGTGTGCATGTATGTGCATGTGTGTGGGAAGGAGTGGGTATCGTTTGACAACTCTCCCCTGGAGATGAGTGTGTTCCTTCATGGGAGCACTGCCTCTCGACTTCCCTCTCTGGGAGTCATTGGCTTCAACTGGAGTGGAAGACAGAGGAGTCATTAGATTGGCCAGTCAATCCATGCTTATTATGCTCCTTTGGTTTTGGGGGCTGAGAAGATAACCAGGATGATAAAACCCATCTCTGACCACACACACTCTTACTGATTGCTCATCTCATAGAGTTTCTGGTCTGTTTGGGGAGATCATATCTACACACCCAGGATAATTATAATAAGAGCCAAAAGTAATATAGTTAATTTCTGTTATAGAAGTTCACAGGGGGCTGAGCATCTAATGAGCTTGAGCGGAGGAAGTAGCATTAATGGAAGGCTTCAGAGGAGAGAGGTGGGGTCTCACCCAAGCTCTTAGAGGAGAAGCTGTCATAAGCTCCCTGAAAGTTGACATTAAAAGACAAACACATTTTAATTTAATGAACAAATTAATGCAGGAGAAGGGCACAGCTAGGTCACGAGGTGCCGGGTCAGGGTTAGACCACAGGGTCGCTCTGCTCTCATCCTCTCCGCCCCCTCTGCAGCCCTGGTACAGGAAGTCTCACTTTAAAGTCTCCCCAGGCGGAAGTTGTGGGGGAGTTGGAGGGGTGCTGGGCCACCCCCTCAACTGTCTCTCCCCAGGCACCTCCCAGCTTCCTGCCCTTCCCCTGCTCCAGGCAACAGGTGCAGGCTGGCCAGGGTCTTTGCCCTCAGAGCTCACTCCCTAATTCAGCTGCAAGGTGCAGCTGCCTGGACACCTCCCCTCCCGGGAGGGGAGCCGGCTGGTGCTGACTGGTGGGGACCTGAGGCCCTGGCTAGGAGGGGTCAGAGCAGCTAGGAGGGGTCAGAGCAGGCTGGCTGGGCCCTGCTGGGGGCTATGAGCCACCTGGGAAGTCCTGCTGGCTGTCTTACATCCCTTCGTGCCTGCCCCCTTACTCCTGGAAGTGGGCGTTCAGGGCTCTGGAGTTTTTCCTGTGCTGCCACTGGACTTGGGTGGAAGGGCTGTGGAGATTCAGAACTTGCCTTAATTCCTAAGGATTGTTTGGGGACCCCAGGGAGGTCCCCAAACCCAACCCAACTGGCCAGAACGAGCCAGGCTGTGGGAATGCAGTGAACCCCGGGTGGGAGGGCAGCCTTAGTTTGCTTCCTTTTGGAACTGGGGAGTGTCAGGGGGGTCCTGTGAGATTCCAGGGAAAGGGCTGGTCGTTTGGGGACTGGTTGGATGGGGAGGAGGAGCCAGGGTGGGGCCTGGTCTAAAGGAAGGATGCTGAGGGGCCGGTAATTGCTGAGTGGCCCCTCCGTGGGGGCGGATAGTGACCCGCTGGGAGGAAGCCAGGGGTTGAGGAGACTTCCCTTTGGGATGGAATGGGAGAGGGAGCCATTTCCCAAAATATGTGGGCCAAGTGGGACAGGGGTCCACAGCCGGCTCTTTTGAGGGGGAGGGGGGAAGAAGTGTACTCCGAGTGGGGGTTGGAAGGAGAGCCTGGCCCACAGGAGAAAGGGCTTAGAGGGGGTCCTAATTGCTGGCTGGTCCCTTCAGCCTTCGTGCTGACTCATGACCCTTGAGGAGCTGGGGAAGCTGCTGGTTCTCAGTCCCTTCCCCTAGATGCCCTCCCTCCCTGGCCTGAGTCACTGGGCGGAGTTGCTGGGAAAAGATTTCCCTTTCCCGGATCTGACTTAACCCCCAAAGTGCTGGAGAGGGAGGAGGACGCTAGGCTTGAAAAAGCCTCTCTCCCTCCCTCTCTCCTGGGAAGTTTATTTCTCACAGGCCAGTGACCCCTGAAAGGCTCCCCACCAAGCCTGTCAGGGGGAACTGGGACCCCCAAGTTTTTGTCCTGACTCTGTCTCTGCTGGTTGGCTTTGCTCCTACGGGACAGAGCCCTGCATGGAATTCCAAGTGTCAGTAACCTTATGTCCTGAGAGCTCTTCTTCGGGGAAAGGAGTCACAATTTCAAGATTGAGAAGTTCTTCCCATAACCACCCGGATTCTTCCTGTTTGTCCTGGACACCCCAGTCGTGTTCAGGGGAGATGGCAGTGCTGGAGTGGCCCAGGAAGGGGGCTGCCCTCTGAGTAGGGGGGCGCAGCCCTGCCACGACTGCTGCTCTGTTTCTCAGTGTGGCTTCTGATTGTGGCTGAGGCTCCAGCTTCCAGGCTGCAGCGTCTCCCAGAGGGTGACTCAGGGCACAGCCTGGCCTCCCTGCCTGCGTACCGGGGTGTGGGCTGCCGCGCTCTCCTGTTCCGGACTGGGGTTTCTGTGATCTGATTAGTCTATTTTCCCCCAATTTTAACACACTTTGAGGACATCCTCTTATCTTTACATGAAGCGGCTCTTATAGCAGAGGGGAAAAAAAAATCAAGACCCAGGGAAAGCCAGAAGAGGCTGATTAAGGAACAAAGTCTAGGTTGGAGCTCAGCATTGACTCCTTGGCTCTGAAGCCAGAACTGGGCGAGTGATTCAGCTGCTGTGGGCTTGCCCCGAGGCTGTAAAGCGTGCCTCCCAAAATGCCCCCCACCCCCACCCCGGTGTGCCCAGGGCTTCAGGACTTCCCCGCCCACCCTCAGCTCCTGACTTCATTTGAGCCAGCTCTGGTTGTATGTAACCTACATGCCTTTGTCCACTCCTGTCTGTGCCTAAACTTTGTCAATCATCTGCCTCATTCCCAGTCTGGAACTTTCCCTTTTACTCCCCCACCTGTTTGCCCTGGCCAACCTGGGGTATTTGTGCAGATTTAGTGGTGGAAGGGGATGCACATGAGGTCTGAGGGCAGACTCCTGAGTGAGGTTTTGATACAGATTTATAAAGAAACTCTTGCTTTTGCTCACTCCCTACCCATGGTGCCCACAGAAATGTCACTTACTTCTGCACCAGTCTGATTTTATTTTTAAAGTTTTTATTGTTTATTTATTTATTTGTTTATTTATTTTGAGAGAAAGAAAGAGAGCATGTGCAAGTAGGGGAGGGGCAGAGAAAGAGGGAGAGGGAGAGAATTCTATCCCAAGCGGACTCTGTTCTGACAGTGCAGAGCTGGACCTGGGGATCGAACTCACGAACCGTGTGATCGTGACTTGAGCCGAAACCGAGTCTAGTAGGACGCTCTAACCAACTGAGCCATCCAGTCTCCTAACTTTGCTGCCCTCCAATCTGATTTTATATAAAAAAGCCCTTTCTACTGGTATTACGCAATCCAGGAAGTGAACAGATCCTAACTGCTCACCTCTGTGGATGTTTTACAAAGTGAACACACTGTGAACATAGCACCTAGGAGAAACACCACCCGTATCCTTAGGGCTCCTTGTTGGAAGTAAGGGCCCCAATTGAGGTAACCTGCCAGTTCCTGATAAAAAACAAAACAAAACCAAACAAAACAAAAAAACCCCCACAAAACATTCCTTAAACACCAGCTCTGTGTCCAGCATTGTTAGTTGCTATGGGGAAATAAGGATAAAATACAGTGCAGGCCTGGGGTCTACCAGTCTTAGCTTAGAGGGACAAAAAATTAGTACACAGAACAACTGGAGAAGAATTAAGCACTAGATCACGTGGGGCCAGCTGTCTAAGCTTAGAGGAAGAACATTGACCTTGAGCGGGAATGGCCCGGGGGCAGTGTTCCACCGAGAAAGGACTTGAGCTGGGAAGGCTTTGAACTTTCTACCTTGAAGGTTCCCACCCTCCCTCTCCTGATAGTCTCTCCTCTGATTCTTCCCCAGGTGCTCCTGGCTCTGATGGTGGAAATATACCCTTTAGGGGTTACTGGACTTGTCCCTCACCTCAGGGACCGGGAGAAGAGAGCTGTTCTGTGTCCCCATGGAAAATATCTTCACCCTCAAAATAATTCCATTTGCTGTACGAAGTGTCACAAAGGTAGGCGAAAGTGGGAACACTGACTCTCCTCAGTTATGGGGTCCTGCTTCTTCCTGTGCTTTTTCCAGATATTCTAGAACCTGGGGGTCTCTGACCTCCAATCTCCTAACTTTGCTGCCTCTTCTGGGCTGGGATTTTCTCCCTTATTTCCTCTCTTACAGACTCGTGGCTGTTCTCTCTAGCATGGAGCTCCTTCCTGGAGTTCCCGCTGCAGCCTAACTGATCCTCCATCACAGGGACCTACTTGTACAATGACTGTGAGGGCCCAGGGCTGGACACGGACTGCAGAGAATGTGAAAACGGCACATTTACTGCTTCAGAGAACTACCTCAGACAGTGCCTTAGCTGCTCCAAATGCCGAAAAGGTAAGTCTCAGGAGGTTGGCCAGGGCTCTAAATGGAAGGTCAGGTGGATATGTTAGAGCAGCGTGCTCGCCTGTGTGTGTGTGAGGGCAAACACGTCTCTGCTGGCGGCTGGGGGCAGGAATGTGTGTGCATAGTCGAGTGCAGGGGTGCGGGCATGCATACAGAGAAAGATACACACTGTGGTGGTGGTGGTGGTGGTGGTGGGCGCTCACACCCTGTCTCCTCCCCTCTCCAGAAATGTACCAGGTGGAGATTTCTTCTTGCACAGTGTACCGGGACACCGTATGTGGCTGCAGGGAGAACCAGTACCGGTATTACTGGAGTGAAACCCATTTCCAGTGCCTCAACTGCAGCCTCTGCCTCAATGGCACAGTGCACATCTCCTGTGAGCACAGCTCTCCCGAGCCCAGCCCCCTCCCCGCCCCAGGGTGGGCCCTGTCTCAGGAGGGTCTCTGCCTTCCTGTACCCCAGCCCCCTGACCCCACACTTCCTCTCCTTCCCACTCCCTAAGTCTGTGGGACCACTCTGGCCATCTACCCCCCCGCCCCTCCTAGCTGTCCCTGTGGTCCTTGGTGCAGGGTGCCCCTTCTTGAGTGTACTGCATCTCTGCCCACAGGCAAGGAGAGACAGGACACTGTATGCACCTGCCACGCGGGCTTCTTTCTAAGAAAGAATGAATGCGTCTCTTGTGCTAAGTGAGTATCGCCGCCAGCTGCTGGGCACGGAATGGGGTGAGTGGGCTTCGGCAGGGGGGATAGGGTGGCTGCAGGTGAGAGCTACCAGCAGGGCAAGGGAGACAGCCCAGGATGCTCTGGTTCTTACTGGCTGTTTGAGTGGTTGACAGTGTCAAAACACCAGACGGTCCTTCTTCCTCCCCCCACCCCCTGCCAGAATTGTTCCTAAAATCTGAAGAAGTCTTTGGGAATAGAGGCTCATACTCCATGGACTTGCAGTTCTTTGAACTTAGACCTTTGGATTTGGGGATGACAAGGTCTCCTATAGTTCATTGATTCTAGGACGCACATTTTCATGTCTCTGAAGTCAGACTGCATCTTCCAATTGATGATATATCATGGTTTAACTGGCAGCTCTGTGTGTGTGTGTATGTAGTGTGTAAATAATGGTGCTTATTAGTGATGGCATCTTTGATGCGATGTGGTATTTCTTCCCCAGTCTCTGTTCAGGCCTCCTCACTTCTTTTGGCTCCACGGAGGCTGTTCTTGCATACTCAAAGAAGGAACTCTGAGGGGTCTAAAAGTTCATCTGACCTGGGTTTCAATTTCGGCCTAGCCACTTATATGTGACCTTGGGCAAGTTACTTGGCATCTCTGAGCCTTAGTTTTCTTACCTTTAAAGTAAGGATAATGACATCCACGTGGCAAAGTCATACAGCCACAAAGTAACACCAAACTATTTGTTTTCTTTTTCTACTAAGTGTCTTCTCTTCTCCTTCAAAGACTTTTTAACATTCATTCCATGTGGTTCTCACTGGGCTTGTGAGGTGGGCGGAAGTGCCTCTTCCTGCTGAGGACTGACCATCCCAAGTTCCTTCTAGCCCCGCATGGAGTTCTCATTACTCCTGCTGCCCAGTGACAGCTCCCAGCTGGGGAAGATGTGCTTGTTCGAGAGTGTTCTCTGGCTGCCCCCAATAATAAGTATTTTTAAAATTTTCACATGCATGTTTGACCTGTCTCCACAAAGTCAGGGATTGTCACTATCAGTGTCATCTCAAGAAAAAGCTCTCCGACCTCTCTTTGCCATGGGTTTCTCACAACAACCCAGTGTCAGCCACCATTTATTGAGCGCTTCCTATATGTCAGGCACAATGATCTCACTTACTCCTCAATTCCGACAGGTGGGTAAGAGTCTTATTTTATTGATGAGCCAACTGAGGCTTAGAGGTTAAATGACTTGCTTGGAGTCACACTGCCAGCCAATGAATGGACTGGAATTCATACCGTGCCCTTGACTGCTTTGAATTACTTTTTCTACACAGCCTCCTCGAGATTACTTCCAGTTCTAAAATGAAATGATTTTGGGATTAGCTTGTGTTTCATTCCTCTGCGTCAGGAGAGGTTTTAATTTCCATTATATCAAGAGATAGCTAAAATGTCTGTAAAGCAGAGAATTTCCAGCAGTGTGGAGTTTTCTTCTCCGCCCCCCCCCCCCCCCCCGCCTCCAGTCTTCCTCTTATGGGAGGGCCCCTATTCACCTGTGCGGTCTCTTCTTTTAGCTGTAAGAAAAACACAGAGTGCATGAAGTTGTGTGTACCCATCTCGGAAACTGTTAAGGACCCGCAGGACCCAGGTGAGGAGAAATAACCTGGTTCCCATGCTCACCTGCTCTCTCCTAATCCTTGCCCCTCCACCTACCCAGCTAGCCCTGCCCCTCCAGCTTTCCCTCTCCTCAGACTACAACCTGTCTTTTGTCTCCAGGCACCACAGTGCTGCTGCCTCTGGTGATCTTCTTTGGTATTTGCATTTTATCCTTCTCCATTGCTTTAATGTGCCGCCAACGGTGGAAGCCCAAGCTCTTCTCCATTGGTGAGTGGGGCCTCGGCAGGGGAAGGTGTGCTCGGCAGGGGGATGTGGGAGGGGGCTGAGCGGGTGCCTTGGATCAGCATGGAGGGAAATGAGGAGTGTCCCCTTCATTTGCTGCCGAGAACCCCCCCCCCACCCCCGTTGGCAGGAGGTGGCCCTGATGGCTTGTGAGAGGTCACAATGCATCAGTAGGTCTCTCGTCCCTGGGGCCACTTTGGACTTGAAGCATGTCACCACAAGTCCCGAGGGCCAGCCCCGGTATGGGCTCCAGGGCTGAGAGAGGAAGTGAGATTTGTGACGCTTGGTTTCTTTTTTTTCAGTTTGTGGGAAAGCAACACCTACAAAAGAGGTAAGATGAAACCAGGAACCTAGCCCCAATCTTTCCTGCTGATTGTCCACTACAATCTTGTAATAGCTAAACGACCCTGGGTCACCCCTAATTCCAGCCCCTCTCCAGAATAAAGAAGGTTCCGGCCGCTTGTCCTCTCCTTCACTAAAGCTGTGCCTTCTCTCTTTCAGGGGGAGCCTCAGCCCCTGGCCACAGCCCCAGGCTTCAGTCCCATCCCCAGCTCCACCTTCACCCCCAGCTCCCCCACCCCCAGCTCCACCTTCACCCCCAGCTCCATCTTCACTCCTTGTGAGTGGTCTAACTTCAGGGCTGCATCCGTCTCCAGAAAGATGGCCCCATCCTACCAGGGGGCTGGCCCCATCCTCACGGCGGCTCCCGCCTCCACCCCCATCGCCACCGCAGTTCAGAAGTGGGAGGACAGCCCCCACACTCAGCGCGCAGAAGGTGAGTTCCCAGCTCCTAGCCGGGGCAGGTGGGTGGAGCTCCTGGAGGGCGCGTGCGCGGGAGGGCCCCGCGGCTCCCCGCCCAGCTTCCGCTTCCTCGCAGCCGCGGATCCCTCGGACCCCGCGACGCTGTACGCCGTGGTGGATGGCGTGCCCCCGTTGCGCTGGAAGGAGTTCGTGCGGCGGCTGGGGCTGAGCGAGCACGAGATCGAGCGGCTGGAGCTGGAGAACGGGCGCTGCCTGCGCGAGGCGCACTACAGCATGCTGGCTGCCTGGCGGCGGCGCACGCCACGACGCGAGGCCACGCTGGAGCTGCTGGGCCGCGTGCTCCGCGACATGGACCTGCTCGGCTGCCTGGAGGACATCGAGGAGGCGCTGTGCGCCCCCGCCTCGCTCTCGCCCCGCCTCCTCCGGTGAGGCCCCGCCCCGCCCCGGGAGGGCCTGCTCTGAGGACTGCTGCCTCCCAGAAGGCGGGGCGGCCCAGAAGGACGGCGCGAGATACCCTCCGGATCCCCTCCTTATGGACGAGGGACTTGGAGGGGCAGGCATCAACTGGCAGCCACCTACTCGGTGCTACTCCCTCAGTGTACAGATTTTCTCCGTTTTTGGAGCACTGCCGGAGGGTCAGCCTTGTGTGTGTGACAGATGTGTGCGTGTGTGGTCATGAGAGAGAGAGGCTGAGTATGCCAGGAGCCCAAGCCCGTGGTTGTAGAGATGAGGGGCGCCGTGCCTCATCACCCACATTGGGTTTGGAAAACCCAGCAAGGGAGCTTAGGGGCCTCTGGTTGGTCTCTAGGCCGTTGTCACAATAGATAAGCAACCTTTTTTTTTTTATCAGTTATGTTACACTAATAGAGACTGGGCACCCCTCTGCCTGGACAAGCACAGAATGAGCTGATGTGTCCGAAGGCAGGGCAGGCACAGAACAACGGGGCGGCCAGCTGGAGCTGTGGATTCTTGTAAATACACTAAAACTCTGGAATTAAAGCTCTGCTCCTGAACGGGGTGGTCCTTCTGAGTGGGGGGGTCGGGGGGTGGGAGGCTGGGGCAGAGACCCCGGGATTCTGATGGGGTGGGCTGGGAAGAGCCCTGAGCTTGGGCCAGACACTCCGCCATGATGCCCACTGACAAAGGAGCAGTGCTGCTGCGACCCCTTCCTCGTCAGGTTCTCTTTCTTCCCAACTTCATCTAGCAATGACCAGGCGGTCATTTTTATGCACAACTTTATGTGGGGCTCTGGTATGTCTATGGTACAAAAATGTACAGCACTTGATCCCAAAGCCCTCAGAGCAGGAAGGGCACAGTGCCCCGGCCAGGCTTCTTAGTGGAAAGTGTGGTCCTTGAGGTAGAGTACAGGGGTGGGGTAGTGACCAGCACTCTTGGGGAGAGATTTCCTCCGGGAGAAATGCCAGAGGTCCTGAGTGTTCCTCACACCTCTCTGAAAAGAAAGGAGGTGAGTGTTAGGCAAAGTAGATGTGGGCTGAAGAGTGAGGCTAAGTACCCCCTTGCCATGGCCCCTGCTCCGGTATTGCCCTCCTTCTATACTCTGTCCCGACCGACGTCTCTGGGACCCCTCTCACTCCATACTGGCTTCTCCACCTCCTCCCAGGCCACCCTCCCTTCTGCACTTACGATGTGGACAGGGGGGTGTCCAGCTGTATGATGCGGGGCCCGCGCATTCTCTGCAGTTGGACCCGGGTCAGCTTCGGAGGCTTGCTGTTCCTCCCAGGCTCCGGGACGCCCTCAATCCTTTGGCTGGCCAGTTCTTCCCGGATCTCTCTGAGCATGTCCTCAGCCCGGAGAGGGTGGGGGGAGGGGGTGCAGTCAGGTCTCAGGAAGAGGGGCCCCTCTTCCTCATCCCCTGAGGACTCCCAGGGGCTTTCCCCAGCAGAGTCAGAGTGGGTCGGGGATGGGGCGAGCTGTCCCCGAAGTCGGGCCCTTTGCAGCGTTTCTGCTACCACATTCCCGACTACGGAGGTCTCATCTTCCTCCTCAGACCAGGTAGGTGGGTCTCTCCTGGGAAGGGTGCTTCCTCTCCAGATACCTTCCTCTGGCAGTTCAGGGGCGCTTCGGCGCTGGGGAGCTTGGGGGTTAGGAGGCTGAGGCCGTAAAGGAACATCTTGGAGGTCCAGGGTGGAGAAGGTGAGGCGAGGGTCACGCCGCAGGGCCTGTGGGCGTAGACGGCTCACAGAGTGGGGCCCCTTGGGGGAGTCTGGGATCAGGGTCCCGTAGCCAGAGTCTGAAGTATCATCTGGTCCCAACGGAGACTCCTCATCTGTGTCTACTGTCACCACCAGCTGGGGGATGATGGTTGAGAACTCAGAAGTCCTGCAATTGATAGTAATAGTAAATGATCAGAGTCCAGTGCTGAGGGATCAAGTTCAAGTTCAGGAAATTTCCCTTGATCCTTCTATCCAGAAATGGCTCCTCCTCCAAACTTACTTTGGTGTCACCTTTACACTGCATGATTAGTTTCTCATCTTGCTGCCTAGACTGTAAGTTCCTAAGGCATTTTAGCCACAGCACTTGGGCCAGGACTTTGTATCAAGCAGGTGCTCAGGTATTTGCTGAAAGGTTCCTGAGCTCCCCTGAGGTGATCCTTCAGTGATGGATCTTTTTTCTCCTTAACCACGCTGCTGAACAGCTGTGTTACTGTGAATGAACCTGGGGATCTGGACTCACTGGATCCTTGCAGCTGCGACATTCTGCAAATCCACACTGGCTTTCACTCTCCATCCCCGGCCTGGGGAGCCTGCTCCTCTCAAGGAGCTTACATCTCTTGTCTGTTTCCTTCACCCTGGCAACTGTTGACTGGTGCCAACCTGTTCTATTCCGACCCGTAGCCTGGGTTCCTCTATTCCCAATGTCCCCAGAAGCTCTGTTGCCATTTCTCTGCTCTGTGGGTTCCTGTCTTCTCCCTGCCTGCAGCCCCACTGCTTTGAGAGACTTGTGGTCCCTGGGGGTCTTACCTCCCCTCTGCGCTGCTCTGAGAGCCTTCCGGGGAAGGTGAGGAGGGCCTGGTGCCTGGGGCCTCCTGCTCCTGGTCCCGATAGAGAGCCAGGAGCTCCCTCTTCTGTTGGACATACTCTTCTGTCTTCAGCCTTTGCAGGGTGACCTGGGGTGGGCATAGTTTCATTAAGAGCTCTCATTTATTCAGACTTGCTGTACGCCATGCATGTGCTAAGTGTTTTACATAATTTCATTTAATCTCCACAGCTTCTGAACAGATTATCAAGCTTATGAGGCAGATATTATTTGTTACTCCTACTTTAATAGGGAAAAATGAATACTTGGGATAAGTAACTGCCAAGGTCATGAAGCAAAAGACAGTGGGATGGAGCTAGGATTTGAACTCTCGAGCTGGCTCTGGGGGTGGGTGGGGTGAACAGAAGGCCCCTTTCCTGCTTGTGTGGTTCTTCCTGCTTTTCATGTCCCCTTGGCAAACCATCTATCCAATCTGTTCTCTCCTTCAGGAAGCCCTCCCTGATAGATAGTGATGGTGGTAGAAGTGTTCTCAATAGTGATGGGCCCTCAAGTTACCCCTTCTTCTGCCACCAGGAGGGCAGGGTCAGGCTTTGTCCTTTGCTGTCCTTCAGAGATGAAAGCAAGACCTTCCCGAGAGGAATGGAGAGAGGATACACTGTTATTTTCTGTCTTCTTCCCTCACAGGCGTCCTCAGAATAAAATAGTGACATCTGAGAAGCACCTTACAGGGCGCCTCCACATGCATGTGATCATTTGATACATACCATCACCCTGTAGTTGGAAAGCATGTATATTAGCCCATTTTTACAGATGAGAGGACAGGATTTAGAGAGACACAGGGACTTGCTCATGGTCCCACGAGAAGGAAAGCGTAACTGGGACTGGGCCTTCTCTTTGAGTCCTGGTTCAGGAACTACATTGACTTTGAAGGGCAGCCTTAAAGGGTAGAGTTGCTAAAGGACATTTGCTTGGGGAGGGGGAGGAAAGGCACAGAGAGGCTGAAGGCAGAGGCTGGGCCAAAGGGAGGCAGCTCTGGGCAGTGCTGATACCAGTACTCACTGGTATGGCCATATCATTGTTAAAATATTGGAGTACTTCCATGCTGGTAAGCAAAGGGCTGCTGTCCAAGCCTCCTGCCTCCCTATCCTAGGACTGCCCTATCCTTCAAGATCCAGCGATAACATGTGGCACAGGAGGGGACCTGTAGCGCATTCCCCACCCCCCAAGATGCTCCACTCTGATTGGATGATGGCCAGGCCATACTGGTTGTTAAATATTTTGATTATCTTCCCAGCTTAGGTATCTGAACCAGCAACTCTTGGACACCTGGACCTTCCCAAAGCCTCTCCAGAAACACAGGGGGTAGCTTGGGTCAGGACAATAGACAGGTTGGAGAAATGGATGAATAGGGATAGGAAAATAACATCAGGTTTATATTGCAAGTTTCCTTTCTCTGGCTCTCCAGTCTCTCAGTCTCATAAGTGACAAAGCACTGCAAAGATTCCTAACAGTTTCATGAGACTAGTCAGTTGACCAAAGCAAAGCATGATGGTACCTGGGTTCAGAGAACCAGCACACCAGGGCCAGGTCCTATGACCTCCTCCTTCATCTCCAGTGTGGGATGGAACAAGAAAGTGGTGGGCGGGGTTGTTCTTGGGGCCTGGGTGGAACTGGAGCAGCTTGCATGTTGGGCTGAGATGCCATGCCCTTGGCCCTACATGATCCAAGTTCAATGGAGTGTTTGGGAAGTCCAGTATAGGATGGTGTGTAGAAGGAAAGAACTGGGAGGAAGGGGTGGGGTTTGCAAGGAAAATCTAATACAAATATCTCCACTAAACTTGCCCCTGGCCCAACCCTAGGAAAAAGCAGGGAGGGAGGGGACTTGAGGCCTCAGAGAATGGGGCTGTTTGAGGTTCCCCCCAGACACCCCAAAGCCTTTCCAGCAACCCTGAGAGGATCTTCTCAGCATGGGGAAAAGAAGAGTCAAGTTGGGAAGGGAAGAGGAAATTGGTGCCTGAGCCAAAATGTGGCTCCTCCACACAGCTGAGAAGAGGAAAGGAGGTCTCCCCCCCACCCCCCCACAGCAGGATTCTTCTTTCTTTGCCCTGGTGGAGGACATAAGCCTTCACAGGAAACGCCTCTTCTCCCCACTGCCTCTGGGGTTGCTCCTAGATTCATCTGCTCCTCCCAAAGTTCCCCAAGTGGACAGATCTCCAAAGTGCCCACAAACTCTGAGCAGCAGCTGTGAGGTCTTTCCCTAGTCAACACCCAGTCCTGCCCAGGCGCCACTGACCACCTCTTTCTTCTAATGATAATAACTAACATTTATGGAGCGCCCATTAAATGCTGGGCCTCATGCCAAGCAGCAACAATAATTGTCCCATCTCTTCTGAATGATAGTGCCACTATCACTGCCATTTCCCAGATGGGGACTGGGCTTGGAGAGATGACATAACCCCTGCAAGAACACAGATAACAGGTGAGAGCTGGACTCTGGCTACTACCTCAGTTGCCTGCTTCAGCCTCCCTCTGTTCATTTTTGGACCTCTGTCTCTGACAGCTTTTTCTGTTCCTGTCACTGGTTCCTTTTTCCTCTTCCTAGTCTCTAATCATGGGCATTTCAGGATTTAGTCTGTCTTCCCTAGAGAAGCTAATTGTTTTTTTCTAAAAGTTTAAGCTGTCCTGGCTAGACCTGAAGGGGATAAATCTACACCTACATTTCTGTGAGGGGAAGGCAGCAATAGTCCCATCCTTGGGTGGTTGCTCTATCAAGGGGGTCAATAGGTATTCCACTGCCCTTATCAGTTTACAAAGACTGATGGCAACAGAGAGCAGGTTTTTTTTTTTGTTTGTTTGTTTTTTGTTTTTTTAAAGAATTTGGTGTGAAACAATAGCAGGACAAACTAATTTCAGTTCCAGTGTTCTTTGTTTTGCTAAGGGAGGCCAGGGAACTTGTGCACAGCTTGGTTATGTATCAGAAGTGACCTCCTTTCCTCTGTTAGCCAAGAGTGAGACT